TTAGCCCAGCTTGTCATTCTGCGTCTGTTAATTTTACAGAATATGTTTATTTTTAAAATGATGTTTATTTACTGTCATTTTATTTTTCATTATTTAGTCTCTTTGATGTTTCTATTTCCATTTGTCTTCTCTACTCTACTTTGATGGCTTTCCCTAGTAATGCTCTCAGTTTCTTGACTTCTTCGTGTGCCTTCATTTTAGATTTTTAGCTAGTGGGAGCTAGACCAAATTTAATATGTCTGAGCAGACCTCTTACTGAGTTGGCGTCAACTCGCTGATATCTAATTAGACATTACAACCTTTTTTACCTTCCCCTATATAGTTTGTTGACTCAATATTCTCGTTCATGGTTTGCATTTGTATTCCTGCTATAACTTTCTCCAGTGTTTCATTTGTAGATTTTTTTCACAATTTCTTGCAGAGTAGGTATGGTAGTATTAAACTCCCTTAGTGGTGATAAATTCCATTAGATTCTGTTTGTCTGTGAAAGGCTTTATTTCACCTTTATATTTGTATGAATATTTTGTAGCATGTTCTTGGCTGGCAACTCTCATTTTTTTTAGGACTTCATTCCACTGTCTTCATGCCTGGAGGATGAGCAAAGTCTGAGGAAAGCCTCTTGGGAGTTACTTTTTTTCCTGACTTCTTACAATTTTTTTTTTTTTTTTGGTATTTTTGACTTTTAATAATTTACCAATGATGTGTTGATGTCTCTGCTTGAACATCTATACTTATTTTATTCCTCCGGGTTGAAAAATTTAAGCTATTTCTTGGATAGATTTCCCTCTCTTCATGTTCTGGTTTTTGTTAAATATTTACTAATTTATGCATATAAGAAGTGAGGTATAGGCTAAGGGTGGAGGGGAGGGGGGACGGGTGGTGAGAGGATTCACCAGAGACAGAGTGGGGAGCAGAACATGCAGATAGATGAAAGTACACTGCTGAGGGAAGCAGCCAGTGGGTCAGGAGGGTTCTGCCACACACAACATGTGGGTCACCTCTCCGGCCGGGGATCCTACCTGCGCCACAGTGGCTGCAGATAGATCCACATTGCCTTTTTAAATTTTTAATATTTGTTTGTTGTATCATCAGGGCGGGCCCTCTTCATGTTTTAGAAGGCCTGTGATCTTTGTTCCCTTTTCTGAGTCTAATACTATTTGTAGAACTTTATTTTTTTTTCTTGTTTTGCTCTCATATTCTAATAGGATGGCCTATCTTTTTGATTTTTGTATTTCTGAAATTCTTTTTTTGGTTTAATTCTGTTGTATTCAAGACTTTTTCTATATATTTGTCCTTACTACATTCAGAGTATTTATATGTAATTGTATTTTCTGTTAATATCCTCAATCTCTTTGGTGAAGTGCTAGTCCTAGGTCTCTAAGATCTTTTACCTCCCTACCAGTGTTTAACATACCTTTCTGTACCTCATTTAGCATTTTTAATAATGTGGCTTATTTGTACTTTATTTCTTCATTGTTTTCCTCTGCCTTTTTAAATTTTTAATATTTGTTTATGCATACAGAACTGGGGTACAGGCCAGAGGTGCAGGGGCAGTGAGAGGATTTGCCTGATACAGATTGGGGAGTAGAACAGGCCGAATGACGAGGTACACTGCTGAGGGGAGCAGTGAGCTGGTTAGGAGAGGTCTGCCATGTGGGTCACCTCCGGAGCAGGCAGGGACCAAACTCATGCTGAAGTGGCTTTAGCTTCTTAGTGCTGTGCTTTAATCTGCTGCACCACCAGGGAGGGCTCTTATTTTGAATTTTTTTTAAGTCTTTTCCTTATAGATCCTCTATTTCTATATCCTTAACGTGATTCCATGAACATTTATTATCTTTTTGCTTTTTCTCCTGGTGTTTATGCTTTCATTGTTTCTCAATAAGCATATGTGTTCCCTCATTACTTTTAAGGGTTGGGATATTGTGGGTAAGTTTTATTTGTTTTTCTTCTTTGTTTATCTTGGTGTGATGTGGGAGCAGGATATGAGGCTAATGCTTAAAAATTCAGTATTAATCTTGCTGAGGAGTGAAGTTGGTCACCTCTGTCTCTTCTCTCTATACAACAAGCTCTTTTGTGTGCTTTCTACTTTCCTGTCCTGTCTCTTTGTAGTTAGATCTGGGGTTCTGCTTTAGTCTGGGATAGCTGTCCTTAGTCTTTTGTTCTTTCATTGTTGATCTTAGTTTTACCTCTAGGAACACCATGTCTCATGATCCATCAATGGAGATCCCTGTGGGCAGCCTTTTAGTCTTGCTATCCCATTTTAAATCTATGCCCCCCCCCCTTGCATTTACTGTGTAATACTTATTGCCTTGTTTGTGGTATTCTGTTTTCCTCTAGTGGAAGCCAAATTCTGATTTTCCTCCTATTGGCACTAACCTATGAAACACAATCATTGTGGAACTTCTCAGTAATGCCTATACCTCATCACTATTCTGTTCCTTATTACCTTGGTAAGCAGTATTCTCTAGGCTTTGCTTCTGCATTTACTTCTTTGATCCTTTGTAGCATGTTAATTTCCCTGTGTCTTTAAAGTGCCTTCCTCAGTCCACAATGATTCTGACATCTCTGTATCATTAAATATGCATCTTTTCTTTCTTTAAGAGTCATCATGCCATTTGCAAGACCTAATACAGGACCTTAAACCTTGAGGCAAAGGAGAGTATACCATATTTTAAAACTCCTATATCCTGTTTTATATCCCCACACCTCTGTCTTGTATCCTCAGAAATACTCCCTGGCATATTCTCTTAATACTGCCAGTATAGACTGACCCATCAGCATTTGCAACATAATCCTTTTGTACCCTTAACTGACCCAATACTTCCCTGTTTGCGTTGTGTCAAGATATACTCTGAGACTGGTAGCCACAAGGGAAAGTTGTTAGATCATTGGACTACTAGTATTACCTTCAGGCATTTGCTTTGCTTGAGGCTTCCATAGAGTGTGGGGCAGGGTTGGGCCCTTGGGGGAATGTGCTATCTTCTAACAAGGGTACATGAACTGAAGAGTTCAAGATTCTCAGTTGCATCCATCCAGATCCTTTAGATTTGCACTTCTCTCTTACATGACACTGATTGAGGCATAAGGGACTGTAGAAGATATAAAGTTTCTTAAAATCTGTCACCCTTAAAATTGAGCCTCAGATCTCATCTTTAATTTCACCAACTCTTTATCTGTAGTAGATACAGATCAGTTTAAATTTTGCCAAAGAGGAAACACCAGCGTTATACTTAGCCTAGTTACTTAAACTATTATTTTTTTCTCTTTAGCATCATGACCCTTAGCAATAACCACTCTATTCCATATTCCTCATAACTACTATTTACCCTGCCCCCTCAAATGCTAACTAGGCATGTTGTACCAGCTAAGTGTCTATCCTTTTTACAAACAAATGCTGTCCTGTAATAGAGTCTATCAACATAAGGCCCCAAATTACATCTTCCTCATAGTAATCCACCCTTTAAGTGATTCACCTAAACTATATCCCATCGTTGAAATTTTCTTCCTAGAGCTACTCGTGATGCCAGAATTTTTAGGTCATATTTCCTAGAAGGCAAGTATGAGTCAGAGATTCCTATGCTATTGATACATTGAGGTTTATGCTCTCAGGACAAGCCTGTAAGGAAAATAAGATAAAACACACCAGTGGAACTCTGGTTTCTGAAGTGTTTGTTTCAGCATGGTCCTGCAAGTTGCTTTGAAGAATAAGTTGTGCCTCCAGAACTTTCCTGCCCCTAGTCAAGATGGTTAGACACCTATCATTCCAAACTGGCTATAGACCTCAACCGAGAGAAAGGAAATTTTGGGAGAGTGGATGCTTTTGTGTCCATGCTTGTACACCAGTTGAAAAATAAGAGATACCACATCAAATGTGAGAGCAAGCAAGTGTGGATTTATTTATTTTTTTTTAAAAGATTTACTTATTTTGTACATACAGAACTGGGGTACAGACCAGAGGCTCAGGGGTGGCGAGAGGCTTCACCAGAGACAGAGTGGGGAACAGAACAGGCAGATCGACGAAGTACACTGCTGAGGGGAGCAGTGGACGGGTCAGGAGATGTCTGCCACGCCATGTGGTCACCTTCAGGGCGGGCGGGGATCGAACTCATGCGGAAGTGACTTTAGGTTCTCAACCAGTGCTTTAACCCGCTGCGCCACCAGGGAGGGCCGCAAGTGTGGATTTATTGAAGAAGAGGAAAGAATTGCTTACAGCAGGATTTATAGTTTCCTATTAATTTTTTTATTACTTTTTTTTTCCTGATCCCTTCTTTGGTTGTCCTCTATTTTCCTGTAACTGAAACCATCCAGTATTTTTTTTCCTTCTGACTTATCTCACTGAGCACCTCTAGCTTCAGCTCCATCTAAGCTGCTGCATGAATTTGTCTTTTTGATTGCTGAATAATATTCCATTGTGTATATATACCACATCTTGATTCAGTCAAGATGAAGCATTAGAAACTTAACTCTCCCTTGGAGAGTTGGCTAAATTTCTAGTTGATCTTGAATATACTTTGATAACTACATCTTCTCCATGTTATTAAAGATAATCTGTTTGTAAATGTCCTAGGACATTTCAGTCCATCTTTGGATCTTGTTAGATATTTCTTATTTCCATATGTTTTCTGAACTTATTTTTCTGAAATGTAAAAGTCACCTTGTAAATATTTATTCAATTAATTAACAGTGGCCCTTTAACATGAAACTTGTTTTTTCTACAAGATTGTTCAGTAGTTTAATAAAGGACCTATTAGCATACCCTTTGCTAATTAAAGTCATAGGTTAAAGATTCTCTCAAAGTACCACAGCAAAGTGTTGGAAATAATCCATATTGAATCAGAATCAATAATTTGAAAAGGTATAGCTTACTCTCAAGTCACTAAAGGGTTTTTGATACATTTTTAATTGATTGGATGTAAACACAGACTTGAAAATCTTTTCAACCTTTGTAGCATGGAATTGACTGCTTTTTTGTGTTTGTGTTTGTATTTATATTTCTAAAGCAAGGAGAAGTCAGGCTGAAGTGTTTGAAAGCTCTACAGAGTCTATATACTAATAGAGAATTATTCCCCAAATTGGAGCTATTCACTAACCGTTTCAAGGTAAGCATTATGGATATGTGACTTTTTCATTTTTAAAAATGAAATTTATAGCTACTTTAGTTAATGCATTACCATAACATGTTTAGTTCACATTCCTACATATTCTTTAAGTAAACCTACATAAAATAAATGAATGAGTCTGCTTTACAAAAAAATGTACTAGGTTCTGACATGTTGTCTTTGTCAGAAGGCTCCTCTGCCTAAAAAACATAAAATTTTCTTTATTTACAGTTTTTAATAATTATATTAATTTTGCAAGTTAGTTTATTTACCCCTACATAGGGAATACTAGTTGATGAGAAAAGGTTTACACTATGAATATTTATATTAACAAACCTCTTTTTACAAGTAGGACAATGATAATATGGTTTGAAGAATCTTAGAAAAGTTTTCCATTTTGAAATGGAAGTCTTTAATGTTTAATGTATTTTATTTCAACATGATATTCTCATTCTTAATGTTTTTGGTTTAAAATTCAGTCTTTAATGTACTCCCCCAAAGGCATTATCTTAGGTATGTGCCAACTTATTTTCTGTTTTTTTCTACAACTTTTTTTCAGGATCGCATTGTATCAATGACGCTTGATAAGGAATATGATGTTGCTGTGGAGGCTATTCGATTGGTCACTCTGATACTTCAGTAAGTATGTGTGTTACTGTTTTATTTTAATTGTCTTTTTACCAGCATTAATGATGTACTTCATCCATATAATCTTAATGTGTAGTCTTAACAATTTCTTCTTTTACATTTTAATGTTAGGTTTAAAGCAAAATGTTTTTGTTTCCATTTTTTTTTTCATTTTTATCTGTTAAACCTGTTTGCTTCATATAAAAGTTTGTTAATGCAGTCCACAATAAATAACCAGTGAAAGTAATATGCCTTCCTCTTGGCAAAAACAAAGCCGAAAGAATGATGAAAAGAGATAGGTTGTTCAAGCTATTCTCCTTGGAATAGTATTGAAATAAGAGAAAGGAAAGAGAGTTTTAAATTGTAACATTAACATGATAGAGAATTTAAAGTAGTTTTATCTTCAGAACTTTGACTCAAAACAAGGAAAATTCTATTAACAAATGTATGTCATAGCAAATTAATTTCAAATCCTCCCCTTCCTACTTTCTGATACCACATCAATCTGTATCAAGTATCTGCTGGGTTCTATTATTGTTTTTATTCCTTTTACTTCTTTCTGCTTTAATATCATGCTCTTCATTATTGTGGCATTGTAACATTAGTATATGGTATATCTTATAAATACAGCCTCCTCTTACTTAATGGTACCATTCTTCTGCTTTGCCTTTTTAAAATTCATATTCAAATTACCTTTTTCAAGGATATGAGTTGAATTCTTCAAAACATTTTATTCAGTTTAAATATTAGAACTGCACTATTATAAATTCAAGAGACTGGCATTTTTTACAATTATTTATCATTTATCCCTGGAGATGATGTATTTATTCAAATTTCATTAAACCTTTAAAAAAATTTAAGTAATATCCTATTTATTAGGTTAGTGCTTTATTTTTCTGCTGTTAAATAATATTTAATGTAATGTTCTATTTGATCATTACTGAGATAAAGAAACCTTTAATTTTTATGCTGTTTTTCTGTGTGCAAGCTATTAGAATCCTTAAGCATTTTCAATGATTTGCTGATTCTTACTGCCTGTGTGGATTAGTATATCTTCTCCCAACAGTTTTTCTTCTCCTTTCATACCCTTACAACTTTTGTTTCAGTCTCTTGTAATAATGTCATTGATAGCAGGGCTTTTTGTCTTTTTTGGGGGGGGAAGTCATCTAAAGTTCTTTGCTTCTGTGATAGGTTTTTGATTTGTAATTAAGTTCATTTGTATTAGGAATTTTCTGATTTTCTTTCATCCGTTGATGGGTCTGAATCAAACTGGTAGATTTTTTTTAATGGTAAATAAACGACCCTTGCATTTAGAATAAATCTTGTTTCAACATGATATTCTCATTCTTACTATATTTGGTTTAAATGCAATCTTATTTTTAATATCTTAACTTTTTTACATTGGTGTTCTGAAAAAATGATCATTTTTTTCTTGTCCTTTACCCAGTTTCAAAATAAAGATAATATTCTCTTTGTGAAATGCCTTCATTCATTTCTTTTCCTTTTTCTGTCTGAAAATGTTTTATAAGAGGAATTAATTCTTCCTTGAAATTTTGAGAGAATTCTTTTATTAAACCCATGTCAGTTTGACTTTCTTTTGAAAACATATATGAATTTTATGACCATTTTCAAATGTATTTTGTAGTTAATGATTGTTTCATACTATCTTTAGGACTTCATAGAACTGTTACTTCTTTTTTTCTTCTTTTCCATTCTCTACTTCGTTTATTATCTTTTCTTGATCAACTGTGTTAGAGATTTGTCCATCTTGTTACTCTTTTCAAAGACTAGCTTGTTTGGCTCATTCATTTCTTATTTTCTAATAATCATATTTAAAGTCTTTACTACTTATCTATAAAAATGTATACATATATTTTCACAGACATTAATGATAAAAACTTTTATTGCCTTTATGATTTTCAGTTTAATGATGGGTTATTCAATAATATGCTTTTGTTTTTCCCATATATCAATTTTTTTTTGTAAACTGTCCTTCCTATTTTATTGTATTTATTGTTTTATATGTGTATATTCTGAATGATTGGTCAGTTTTCTGAATATTTTTAATAATAATTTGTCTATGTTGTGTTTTTAGTTTATATGTATTGTCATTACTTTGAATTTATATACTATATCATCCAAATTATATCTTTTTATTTCTTGTTTGTTCTGTAAAAGGAATATGGTAAGCTCTCCTGCTACTGTAGTTGGCTTATATTTCTTCATAGGTTTTTATTTGGTACCTTTGTGTTCATTTTTTTATGTCTGACAGTGTCCATTTTGTTCATACATACCATTCTTGCCTTTTTGAAGAGTCTTTGCCTTTTTAAAACTACCTTAAAGTGTTAGTCCTCTTAGTTCTATTTTCTTCATAAATTTCACAAGTTTATCAGTGTCTTTCCCCTGAACAAAAAATAAACCCTGACAGTCCCTACCTACCTATTTCTCTGAAGTTGTCTAGAGTTTAAAATTTATATTGCTGAGTATACTTATTTGTATTTGCCTGCTTGTTTTTTGTTTTAATACTTAACTTTAAAGAAGCTTAAACTTTCCTGAGACATTTCTTCTTCCTTCATTTCCAGAAAAGAGTAATTATCTTACAGATTCCTCTAAGATATCTTTTCCTGCTAGTTTATTTAACAGTGCTTTCATCTTCATTTGGCAAAAATACTCACTTTCATCAAGAATATAGAAAATGACTTGTTTCGTTTTAGTATTTTTGAGGTTCTTTTCTATATTTGCATTGGAATAAATATGGGCAGAACATGTCTGATTTAAAAGAAATTGTAATGCTGTTCCACCCATGTCAAATACCCTAATTCATTAGATACATCGATCCTTGGAGATCTTCCCTGACTCTAGGAATTTGACTACAGTTCTCCAATGTAGATAGTGCCTCACTATTCACTTTGTTATTCAGTCCTTGGCTTTTAGATTTCTTCTGTTGAAATTGCTTGTTAGGTCTGTAGGTAGTCTTGTTGGGCAGTCTTTTAAAACTTCAGGCTGGCGCTCTTTAAGTATTCCCTATCTGGCCTACAGGAAACATGGACCATTTACGGATGGAGGAAGTATGACTCATTCTCCTTGTAGCCCTCTCTTCTTAATCTGCTACCATGAGTTGTTCCAGCAGTCAGCCTTTCACACTTAGACCTTTTTAAGCCCTGCACCAGGTACCATTTCCTAAACCTCCTCACAATTGTAAGGGTTGTTTATGAAGTTTTTGTAGTAGTTCTCCAAAAGTTAGTGCAATTTGACTGGGGAGGTTTCAGAGTACCATAACACTCTGGCATCTTTCTCTTGAAGGAAATCCACTTTACCCATTATATAACTTTATTCCCTAATTTCTATTTATATATTATTTTGTATGAGGTAAGAATCACAAAACCAGAGTCTTACATTTGCATGAAATATCTGACCTTATTTTTCTTGGTTTGTTGGATCTGTACCAAAGCTTGCCAGAACAACAGGTGAAGTCACCTGTGTTAAAAGAAATAACAGTTTTCATGAAGTCCTAAAAACCATATAACATTATGTGTTATCTCTTTTGACTCCCCCGCCCCTTCAACTGTTAGCTTTCCTTTTGATACACATTATATCATTTTCTTCACTTTTGTTCCTGAGATGTCTTCTTAAAAAAATTTTATTTTTACCAGTGTTTCTGCTGAAGGCATAAGCTAACTAAGCTGATGACATAAAATTGGGTGAAGGAGTTATAACAGACCTTAGCCTTGTGCCCATTTTTATAATTTTAAGGTGTGAATTGGACATGGGAGAAGACACTTCTACTTCCGATATAAAGCCTCTAGTTATAATTTGAAACTCCTTCTCCCAGTCTTAAAAATTTCCTCCTTGAGTTGTCTTATAATCCCCAGAACAAGGGAGGGCAATTCATAAACTAATCAGTATGATTATTATCTATTATATTGTGAATTTCCTGGCGCCTATTGGTTTCACCCACAACCATGTTCTGCTTACCAGTAGAATGGGGGAAAGAGGGAAGTCAATTATAAAATGCTTTTGACCCATTTCCTGTCTTTGGTATCTAGCTAGCTCTTTTTCCTTTAGAACTTCAGTTTGTTTTTCCCTTATGTTTAATACAACTGTCTTCTTTTGTTGCAAAAATCAGTCTAATTTTATTTGAAAAATCCCTCTTCTTCCTCCTGGTTTCTTAGGCATCACCAGGATTGAATTTTAAGGAATGAAATTATATGCCTACATCTTTTCAAGAACCCATACAACTCACGAATTCCATATTTGTTTCAGTTAATCAAATATAATCATATCAGACTTTTAAGTGTATTGAGTCAGTGACAGAGGATGTCCCTCTGTGAGGGGGAAAAATACATTCAGGCAAACTGACTCAAACTTAAAGATACATTTATGGAAAGGAGACATTTGTTTTAGTATAGCAATAGTTGTACCTGCTAAAATCATTTTATATAGCATGAAGAATAAATATTATTATAATGTGGTGAAAAGGTATAATTTAAAATAACTTCTGGAAAGAACAGTCACACAAAATAATAATAATTTAACAATAAAACAGGGACAGATATAAGAAGAAGCTATCAATGGAAACGTTATGTATAGAACTTGAGCTAATTGGGCAATTTCAAGATATTAATGACCACCTATGGGTATGTGTGGGAAGAAATGTGGACATTTATTTACTTATTTTATCTGTATTTTCTGATTTTAACATAATAGTGTATTTTATAAAAAGAAGTAATTGCTTTCAAAGTAGATATAAAAATGAAAACAATATCCCTTGAATTTTTATAATGAACTTTACAAAATCAATAAAAGTATAGTTGAAAATAAACATTTGTTTAGACTCAGCTATTGTTTTCTGTTTTTTGTTTGTTTGTTTGTTTGTTTTTTCCAGTGGAAGTGAGGAAGCACTTTCCAATGAAGATTGTGAAAATGTTTACCACCTGGTTTACTCTGCACATCGCCCTGTTGCTGTAGCAGCTGGAGAATTCCTTCACAAAAAGTAAGTTAATTATCTTTGAAATAGTAAAAGAGTAATAGTGACTAAAAACAGTGCAAGAAATGACCATTTCAAAGTCTGGGTGCTGTAATACACTGACAGCCTACTACTGAGCACAGTCCTACTAATAATGTGTCTGGTTACATATTCCTTTCCTTAAAATCTAGAAACATGGTTCTCAGCTGGGGTCTGAGCAGGGATTTGTAAAGTACCTGAAGTATGTATAAAAGCACACAAGGTAATTGGTATTTCATCTAGCTTTTTTTTTAACCCTTGTAAAATTCTGAGTTCTTAACATCTCAGTGTTTGTAATCTCCACTCACTCTCACAGTGTTTCCCATCTGTTTGCATTCTTTCCGTTGTTATCAGGGTTTTTTTTTTTTTTTTAAAGATTTATTTATTATGCGTACAAAACTGGGGTACAGGCAAGAGGTATGGAGGAATGGGGTGATGACAGTATTTATCAGAGATAGAATGGGAGTAGAACGGGTGGATTGACTGACATATCTGCTAAGGAGAGCAGTAAGTAGAACAGGAGAGGTCTGCCATGCCATGTGGGTCACCTCCCTGGATGGGAGCTGTGCATACCTTCATAGTGCTGTGCTTTAACCAGTTGTGCCACCAGGGAGGGCCTAGGGTTATCGTAATTAGTAATATATTGTAGTTCTAAAAATTACATATACAGGACCCTCCCCGGTGACACAAGGGGTTACAGGCTGTCACCAGCCACTGTAGCATGAATTCAGTCCCTGGACAGGAGCTAATCCACATAGCACAGCTGACCACTCCTGTCTTGCCTCCTGCTTCCTACTTTGTCTCTAGTGAATCCTCTAACCACCCCAGCCCACTCCCACTCTCGCCTACACCCCAGTTCTTGCATGCATAAGTAAATGAATCTTTAAAATATATATTAAAATTATAAATGAAGTTGCAGTATAATTACAAAGCAAAACCTCATTTTTTTAAAGCATAGATATGAGGTTATGAATATAATTAAATACTCTTGAAATAGATTGTGGTTTACTATGTTTTCTACAATTTCTTAGAAGATTAAAGGCGTACTTAAAAAACATGGGGAGTGGAGGTTACTTTGACTTTTTAAGTGTGTGCTCATAAGAATAAGGAAAAAGTCAAGATTTAGTCGTGACTTTTTAAATAATACTAAATTTGCCAGCAACACTGATGGCTAATCATATAGTACTGTTTCCATATTTCTTGAGGTGTTCACTGTCTATATCTAGTGCATAGTATAATGTTAACTTTCCTTCCTTTTCTACTACTACTCTAGTCTTTTTTTTTTCTTCATATTTTTCAAACAGCTTTGGTGTTTAGAAAGAATTACTTCTGTAGCTTCAAAAAATTAGATGGTTGTCCATAGACTAGCAGCCATAGACAGGCAGTACATGAGTCAGAAATAGTTTATGGATATATTTCATCTGTATTGTATTTTTCTAAGTTTAAAATGCTGGTTAAATTTTTTTTAATTAGAATATTTTACATAAAAGTCCACATGTGTAATCTTCTGTTATTTCTTATTTCTTTGTGAAACTAAAGCATGTAAAGCATGCAAATGAAAGCTTTACTCTCGAAGTCCTGATGATACTCAGTTTAGATCTCATTGAACATTCCCCCACTATTTAAGAATGTGATCTTTTAATATGGTAACCAAATTATAGAATAGTCCCAGGAGTTTCATGATTAGATGTTTTTTAATGCACTATTGTCCATACACATATGATCATTGCAGCCTAGCTTATAAACTATGCTGCATAAGACTAACCAACCATCCAAAGATAATAGTGTTTCTGAAATGAATAAATGTGAATAAATATTCTGCATGTTAATTTTAGAAAAATTTAGCAAATTTTGAGTACCGTATATTTATATACAGTTAAATGCAGTTGACCATATTTGTACATTTCAGTTCTAAAGAACTTTCATGCTTCCATTTATTCTTTCCACCAGAAACCATCCAAATAAACTATCTCTTAAACCAGTTTGATAGCTATGTAAATTTAAGTTCAAGATCATAGTCTAGTCTCCTTTGCATACTATATGCTTTCCCTATCTGCCCCAAATACTCAAACTCTGTATTCATTTTCTACTTAATAGTGGCTTGTTTTTGTCACAAAAAAATACTTATTTTAGTGAGTTAGTCTTTTCTCTGAAAGTCCTACTGTGACTTTCATAAGTATACACACTATATGTATACCCCTTGTTTCTCCTTTATAACACCTGAGATTGTATATCTGTATTACTGTTTATGTCCATCCACTAGAGGGAGAGATCTATGAGAATTAGAATTTTTCTCTGTTCATTCTTTATAGCCCTTTTACCTAATGCAATTCCTAAGTATAAGGCAGCCTTTAGAGTCACTTAAGTTTTGTTAGAATGTTAGTAAGCAAATTAAGAATGATACCAAATTAAAATTTTCTATTCATTTCTTTGTCATATTTTAGAAGTTTTGTCACTGATTGGTATTTTTATAAATCTCAGTTTATGTCATGGGTTATTGAATGTTCTTTCTAAATAATAAACAGAAAAGACTACAATAAGTAATCATGATTGAAAACTGAACTTTTTTGTATTGATTGCATGCACATTTAGTAAAGTGCTAGTATTATTTGACTGAAATTAACTTTTTTTTTTGATTGGTTGGGTAACTGAGAGAAATCATATTTAATATCCCAACTTAAGTTTATACTTCTATAATTTTTTATAGCAGCTTATTTTTACATCATTTTGTACATTTTTTTTTCCATCTCAATTTTAATCCCTGCGGGTTTCCCATCACCAAGTCACCTGTGTGCCATCACCATAATCCCATGCACTTCCCTCCCCACTCCCCCGTTTTTGATCCCATTCCCCACTCCACCCCCACAAAATGTCTCTGGTATACGGCTGTTCATTATTCTTGTTATTTTCTCACCTG